AGCTAACGCTGCGTCAACCATGGATGGGAGCCGAAACAACCTGCAATCACCTGGACGATATAATACCTGTAGGGACACCCCAAGGTCGGATTACTCGACCAGAGGCAATCAGGTGCAGAAAAACAAGAAAGCGAACCCGCCACCCGGCTGCGCCAACCGCTGGCACACGAGATGAAATGCAGCTAAAGCCAGCGAGATGCGACCTGCAACCCCAGGAGCGATGCACAGACGCAAAAACTTGAAGAGGCCGCGGCCATGCCAGCCAGCACCCAGGCCAAGGCGCAAGCAGCAAGGCGTCAAGGCCACCGCTGGGCAAGCTGCCGGCAGAAAAAGGCGCAGACCACAAGCGGTGTCCGCGGAGATTGCCACGCACACCCCTGGGAGCGCAAGAACGCCAGTGCCCTGGGCGCCACGAGAGGTGCAAGGCACCGCTAGGCCGAGCCAAAAACACACACGCACACACACACACGCATCGCTGGTTCTGCCCCCCCCCCCGTCTGGGGCCGCGCCTGTCGCATCCTCCTCGCCTGGCCGTCGCACCGTCGTCGCCTGTCGCATCCTCCTCGCCTGTCGCAGCCTCCTCGCCTGTCGCATCCTCGCCGTCCTCCTCGCCTGTCGCATCCTCGCCGTCCTCATCCTCCTCGCCTCCTCGTCTGCGCCCCGTTCTGCCCACCCCCGTTGGACGCCCCCGATCTCCTTCCGCGTCTGGGGCCGCGCCCGTCTCAAGGCCGGCGCGCCCGATGCCGCTCGCCCGGGCCACCGGGGGCGGGGGACCCAGAGGGGACGCTGGCACGGCCGAGCCGCGAGTGCCAGTGGCCGCCCAGCGTCGCCCTGGGGGTACAGCCCTGCTCAGAGTTGGGGAAAACTGTAGGCGAAGAGAGTGACCTTCGCTCGAAGCGCTTCCCAAAGCAGTAGTCCAGGTCCACACACGAGAGCAGTCTGCGAGGCAGACGAGCTCCAAGAGAAGTTGCCTGGAGTCCAGTGCCGACTCTCGAGTTGCTGGAAGGCAATCCGGAGTCCACGAGAGTTGCCACTTGTTCTGGAGAGTCCTGATGGGTGCAGGCAGGAGGAGGGAGGACGGGGAGCGGAGCGGGCTGGGGAGCGGGAGGAGCAGGAGGGGCAGGAAGGGGGGAGGGGAGGGGCGGAGCGGGGGTAAGGGGGGGGGGAGGGGAGGAGACAGGGGGAGAGGGGAGGGGGGAAAGGGGGAGGGGCCCTGAGATCCGGCGTTGCGAACAAAATGCAGCATCGCAAAAATCACGACCAGAGCCCCAGACCCCCTCTTTCGGCACCATGTCTCGAGCCGCATCGATCTCTGAGGGTCCTGGGGCCCGAGACGGAGCGAAAGCGCCCGTGGTGAGAAAACTGCAGCGCCAGGATCTCGGGGGGGAGGAGGAGAGGAGGCGCAGCGTCGGGCCCCAGGAGGAGGAGAAGAAAAAGAGGGCGGGGGGCGCTCGAGAGGGGGTGCCCTGGGCCTCGCGTGGGGAGGGCCCTGCCGTGCGAGGAGGCCGGCCAGGAGGAGGCCGCGAGGTTGGGGCGTCATGCAGGTCGAGGAGGCAGGGGGCGGGAGGAAGAGACGGCTGCGGAGGGGGTGGCGCCTCCCAGGGACTCTGGGCGGGGGGAGCGCACGGCGGGAGAAGAAGACCAGCGAGTGCGCCGGAAGTGCGCGGGGTTGAGCACGGCAAGCATCGCTCGGGGTTGTGGAGCGCACTGGAGGGCGGCGTCTCTAGAGGGCAGAAAATCCACCCCGATAATAACCACCCCGACACGCGAGGCCTTTAGTAAACACGCCCAAAGAAGGAATCGAACAGGGCAGGGCTGTTTAGTAAACGCCCAAGGCCGTTTAGTAAACGCCAATTGTCCGGTCCGGGTGGCTTTTCTTCCCTTGAGTCTCTGAGCGGAGGGGTTCGAAGGGTTGTGGAAGAGGGCCTCGGAGGGCGGCGGAGCGTGGGCGAGGGCAGCCGAGAGGGCGTGGAAGTGCGAGGCGGTGGCTGGCGGCGGAGGTCGGCGTTGCAAGGAGCAGAGGCCTTGGGCGACGAGGGTGAGTGAATGGGGTACAGTCAATCGTGCTGAACGGGGTCCTGCAAGGATCGGGGAAAGCAGGTGTTCAAGATGATGTAGGTTGGCGCAGGCGGTAACACGCTCTTACGAGCTTGGGCGACGGTCGGTGAGGCTGCTAGGGCACGGCGGAGGCTGGCGGAGGCTGGCGGAGGCTGGCGGAGGCTGGCGGAGGCTGGCGGAGGCTGGCGGAGGCTGGCGGAGGATGGTGGAGGGTGGGGACGCGGACGCGAGGGGGGAGTGGAGGGCCAAGAGAGGCCGGTGGACGTCGATTGAAAAGAAAGGATGCTGGAGGCTCGCGAAGGGAGGTCGAGGTGGTTGAAGGAGGCGGGATGGTAGGATGTAAGACCATGGATCGTGGGAGAGTGTGATAGGAAATTACAAAAAGGAGTAACAACGTTCAGTGCATGACTGGGGGCGGTGGAGGATACAAAATGGCGGGTGG